AGGGGCTTGATTTTTTTTCAAAAAAACTGAAAGACTTGAAGGGTAAACAAAGGCATCATTTGACATTACAAAAAGAAATAATTTAATAGCAACATGTACAAGTTTAAATAAAAGGAAACCAGCATTATAAAACTTAAGCAATTCAGATACCACACTAAAGTTATGCAAAGCAAAAGGTTTTTAAAATATGCATGAGAAAACTTACATTCACTCATATACAAACCCTATTTAATTAAGAATATTAGGCAATTAGTTAGAAAATCCTAACCCCAAATCATACATACTCATACTGTTGCTAATGTAAGCAGTTTGGAAGCAGGTAGCTTTCCACTCCAGTTATAATCTTGAATGATTGTCCTTGTTATCTTCATTGGATGGAATCTTATTTGGGTTGTCAGGTTTCATAGCAGGGAAGAAGAGAACTTCCTTTATATTATAGGAGTTGGTCAAAAACATTGCCATACGGTCAATACCCATGCCAAAGCCCCCAGTTGGTGGGAGACCATATTCCAAGGCTGTACAGAAATTTTCATCCACCATTTGTGCCTCATCATCACCAGCTGCTTTGTCCTGAGCTTGTTGTGCAAACCTCATCCTCTGCTCTAATGGATCATTTAATTCTGTATAGGCATTAATAATTTCTTTCTTAGCAACAAAAAGTTCAAATCTTTCTGTTAGACCTTTGACAGAGCGGTGGTATTTGGCAAGTGGACTCATAACTTGAGGATGGTCCATGATAAAGGTTGGACTGATACACTGTTCCTCCAAAAAATTTCCCACTAGCTTATCTAAGAGTCTTGCAGACGTACGAGGGGCTGGACATTCTACACAATGTTTTTCACAGAGATCACTCAGGATTTTGCGAGCTGCTTGTGTGTTCAGTTGGTCTGGTTCTGGCAACTTTGTGTTGAGAGCCTTCTCAAGCTCTGGAAACATCTGTAGTCTCCTGTAAGGAGGCGTGAAATCCAGTTCCCATTCTTCACCATCTGGACCATGTGGGTTGAATTTCACTTTATAAGAATTAAAGATGCTAAATACCATCCCCGATACTAACTTTTCTGTTAATTCTATTAAATCATTGTAGTCTGCATATGCCATATAAAACTCAAGTGTTGTAAATTCAGGGTTGTGAGTAAGGTCAATGCCTTCATTTCTGAACTGCTTTCCAATTTCATACACTCTATCAATACCACCAACAATAAGCATCTTTAGGTAAAGTTCAGGAGCAACTCTCAAGAAGAGATCCCTGTTAAGTTCATTATGGTATGTTATAAAAGGCTTGGCAGTTGCTCCTCCAGCAATCAAATTCATCATTGGAGTTTCCACCTCCAAAAATCCCAAATCGTCAAAAAATTTACGGCAATAGGAGATAATATTGGATCTAACTATAAATTTTTTGCGAATATCAGCATTGATAATAAGGTCTAGGTATCTCTGTCGATACCTCGTCTCTTGGTCTTTGACGCCAAAGTGAAGATGTGGCAACATGTGGAAGCATGGAGCAAGGACCACAATCTTTGTAGGTCGGATGGACAACTCTCCTGTCTTGGTACGTATACCAACACCCTTCACACCAATAACGTCTCCTCGGCGAATTTTGTCGCAGTCTTGTATGAAGTCTGTCTCATTCTCGTAAAATCTTAGATTTGCCATAACCTATAAAACAGAAAACATTATGCAAGTAAAAAATGGTAGAGCACAATAGCTTTACCCTACTGATGTATTTTCAACTCAACAAAAACACTTACTAGCACTTGTCTTTACTCAAAATACAAATCAGATCAATTGGATGAATATTCTATTATATACACACAACCCACAAGAAAACTGATAACGAATAACTGTCAATGAATAAACAGAATGGAAGGGGGACCTCACACCTTGGTTTATGCAAGTAGCAGGGCCAGCAATATAAGCATTGAGCCGTGAGGGTTCTAATATGATGATTTTATAATCAGCACTGTGACATGGTTGTACCATGTCACAAATTGACCCCAGGAACACCCTACTACCTGTGGGGTGTTCCGGGGGTCAGCACCCCTGTAGCCCATTCCATGACCAGATCTCGCAGTGGATCAGGGCCTGGTCAACAAGACTGTTAATGCTGGCCACATGTACAAACCACAACCTGGTTGATCAGGTACTGTTTCGCCCCACATCACAGCTATAATGATGCTTCTATTCTCATACCCCCTCAAAGTCATACAATCCCAAAATGGGCTAGTAATGTACAAAAATATTCCAGACAAAAAAGAACAAGTGATTTACATAGGATCATCAATGGCTTAGTATCCCTTGTTCAAAGGTTCTCATTATCCATCCTATAATTTTCCATGTGGTTGTGATAAAGGCATTTTTGTGATCCTTGAAAGATGGAAATCACACACTGAACTATTAAAAGTTTTGAAAAAAGAAATATATACAAGAGGATTGTGCTCCATCCTTTAGCCTATTGGAGAGATTCTCCTCCAAAGATGTTCCATCTGAAGAAACTAGCAAGAAAAATGGATGCACAGCCACTTCAGCACCATCAGAGAATTTAGCATAGCAGGCAATGTTTTTTTTTATTCCCAATTGGGCACAGCTAGAGTCTGCAACTTTCCATGAACTTCTGATTAATTAAGGGCAATTGAGAAATTTATGAGTACCTTCCTTGTTTAATAGTTAATGAACTGTAACATGTGACAACAGATGTAACCTATGAAAGCTGTTGTGCACCATTAAAATCAGTATTATTTTCACTATTTGATACATTGTGAAATAACTAGTATGCAACTTTCTGTAATAATTCTTTTAGTTTTGTTCAGCTTTTAGGTTTGAAGTCACAGTGTGACTGTAAATGGTCCAAGTCGGACCGAAACATCGTCGTAAGCTCCTCTCTTCTACGTGCAGGTTATTTGTGTATCATTCGAGTATAGTGCAGTGAAAGAAAAGTGTTCTTGAATAAATATAATGTATATCCCTTGTGATACCAGTGTACAACATAATGATAAAACACAAAGGTAAAAAAAAAAACAGTGAAGTATGTCAGACTGTCAGACAAATCCCTCAATATGAGGTTAACATACGTCTCAATGTACACACAAAGGTTTGAGTTATCACATATAATGAAATGACTAGAGTACCAATACATAGTGGAAACTTTTTTTTTTTTTAACACGGTCGTCTCCCACCGAGGCAGGGTGACCCAAAAAGAAAGAAAATCCCTAGTAAATCTAAACTGTCAGTGGAATGACTCAAGATAGTGATTTAACATAAAGGAAATGTTTTTACACTAAAATGTGGCAGCATGACACAAAAGAAGTGCCATATCCATCTATGTTCATGTGATTTTCTGTATCATACACCTGGTAGTGTTACCCACCTTGGGAACCATATAGACCTTGCTGTACTGCACACACAAACCCACCACCACCCACACACCACAATAAACTAACCTTACAAAGAAATCATGTTCTTGATTTTCACTGTGTGAGGATCAGGAAATGTACCCGAATTGGAAAAGTCTCTGCAGTGTTATACACCATAAATGTTTTTGACGGGTAGTAAGTCTCAGAATTTAATACATCTCACATACCTGTATCACTGTCATCCTCAAACACCCCACTGCTACATCCCTACATGCAGAGCAGAAAGATAAAGTGGAAATCAGGTTTTGTGGCACCCAGAATGCAAGTAGGATACAGGCAGGATGGCAGTACAGTATACTTGTGGGACATGTGAAAATGTCCTTGGGAAACAATCCAGAATCACATGCAACCTATGTTTTTCAAAACACCATGTCTCTTGTTCAAGAATAAACACTGCTTCGAAAAATGACATTCAACTAGAGAGGAATTTCTGAATCTGCAATAAGGATATGGGGCTGTGGACAGGTTTCAGGAAAGTACTCAGGAGGGTAATAAACAATAAGCAGGAAAACAAAGCGACCTTCTTGGACAATCTACCCAAGACAAATAAAATGTGGGAGGAAGGGAGAGGAGCAAAGTTTAGCATACAAAATGCCCATACTACAACAGACTCGAAAATAGAGACCCACTGAAAAAGTATCTGAAACAAGAACATCAGCCAGCTCAGCCCCCAGCCATAGTGGTGATTCAGACTCAGCTAAAAACTCTACCACAGCTACCACTACAGCCCTAATAAAACAGCCACCATTACACAAAACCATAGCCTCCATTACAAATGTACAGTAGCGTGCAAATTAATTTGGATGAGTAAATTTTGTGATTATCTCGTATGTCTTAGTCTCCAGTGTACTTAATGTAGTTTGGGTTCTTTTCTTTTCAGAAGAGTTTGCTACTGGCTTCTGGCAACCATCCAGCTGTGGTGTTACCCTGGTACTCTTGTCAGTGCTACAACAACTACTGTTCTTTAAGGCTATTCCTGCAAGTGTGCTCCGTGAGTGAATGTGATTTCGCCAAATTCTTCCTTTAATTCAAGATGGATGTTACACCTAGGTGGTGTGCAAGTATTGTAGCTCTTAGAAAACATGCCGATTTGAGTATCAGACAGATATTCGAAAATTTGAGCCTAGCAAAGTCAACTGTTGGTCGGATTCTGAAGAGAGCTGACGACAATGATCATTGTGGAGTGCTGAGCCGAGGAAGATTTGGAAGAAAACGCAAGACAATACCTCACGATGACAAGGTTATCATAAGAAATAATGTGAAGGGTTCCAAAAAACCCAGCAGAGATATACAGAGAGATCTGGCTTCAGCTGGCATATGTGTTGAGTCTTCCACCGTTCAACAAAGGCTTCTTGAAGTTGGCAGAACAACCAGAAAGCTGGTAAAGAAACAATTATTGACTGCTGCTATGAGGAAAAAATGGCTGCAATGAGCACTCGATCAGATGTGGCACATTTTGAAGTAAATAACAAAAAAAGCACATTACCGTGGACTGGAACAAATACACAAATAACCCCAACAGAGAAAGGAGCATTACGAACGACATTTCGGTCCGACTTGGACCATTTACAAAGTACAAACGAAAGAGGAGGCAGGATGGGTATGGAACCCGAGGTAAGCGTTTGTTCTTTCCAAACTTTTATATGTTCTCCTTGCTTTTAAGCCTATTAATTCTTATGAGGGCTCTTATTCAGAGGTCGGCTTCGTGATTTAGTTTTTTTCCCGTGACTGTCTTGCTTGAAGTTTTGCCCGTTCTCCAAACTGGTAAAACCCAACATTATGACTCTCCTTCTGAGAAAGTCTCTACTCACAGCTCATCCTTTCACGAAGTCTAAGGCTGAAAGATGCCTTATTTACCTCACAACACGTAACCACGACCGTCTTTGGTCTTCCGAAGACTTGCAACCGTTCCTCTACCATTGCTTTTGCACTTGCTTGAAACTAAAATTCATGTCGTCTAATACAGAAAAATTCATATCTCACTCAGTAGACCCTGTGAGTAAATTCTCCATTGATGAAAGTTAAGACACTTGTGCAATCTTTATCTTTATTGTAGAGTTTCGCCATCCAGTGGCTTTATCAATACAGATTCTTGGATAATTAGAAACAGAAGAAATTATGTACAAAAGATGAGGTAACAGTCCCTCAGCCTTGGAGGTGGTGTTACAGCCCATGGTTGTAGATTCTTAAGCACAGGTAAGGAGACTGGCGCTATTAGCAGGTAGTGAATAGGGACGTTGTAGCAGACAGGGTATAGTCACTGGTAGGCGGGATTCCCCAGTGGAAGTAGGTCTACCCAAATTGATGGGTTAGTTTGAGAAACCGTGAAAAATTGGATGTCCTCTGCAACCGAGATTCCATGATTGCAGTGCATGACAAGTTGTGCAAGACGTATACAATACCGACAAGTTGAAAGTTTAGGACATTGTGCAACATCTGGTTATCTTATTGTAGCGTTCCAAAACTGCTTTATCAATACAGTCTGTATCATAATTGAAAACAGAAGAATTTAAACTATATGAGGTATCAAGTCCCTCAGCCTTGGAGTGGTGTTCACAGTGACCATGGTTGTAGATCTTAACTGTTAAGGAGTAACTGGCGCTTATATTTGCTCTGAATAGGGAGTTGTAGCAGTAGAGGGTAAGTCACTGGTAGGTCAGGTATTTCCCCAGTGAAGTAGGTTCTACCAAATTGATGAGTTTAGTTGTAGAAAACGTAGAAATTTTGGGTAGGACCTACTTCCATGTGGAATCCCAACTTCAGTACTTATGCACTGTCCCTAAATGTCCCCTATTTTAATCCCCTTATAGTGTTTGAGCTAATTAGTGTATATTCAATTACATTATTGTGCAAGTCCAAAAGCTATCTTTTGCTACTAGTTACCAGTTACCTTCATATTTCTTAGTTTTTATGCAATTAATTACTCAACTTATTATATTACAAATCAGATCTTACTCCCAAATCCAATATATCTAGTGACTATCTGTCCATTACTTGTTCATCATTACTTTAATTTATCCCTTAATGTTTTCCTTTATTCTTAGCTTTATATAACTATCTATGTTCTTATAATCCACATTTGGTTAAATATTCAAGGTGCTATTCTCAGGTGCTAAAGTTAAATAAGTTCACTATTTGCCATTATATATAATCATATGATTATCTGTCCATTAGCACTTTTTATCATATTACTTAATTTAGACCCTTAATAAATATCCTATTTTATTGGTCATATACCATAAGTTC